AATTTGCTTAACAAATCATGATAAATGTATTTTTATGTGAACACGTGGAAAGTAATCATGAATATGCATGCAATATGCAAACTTTTATTTTGCACCCTCTTTTGGTCGATAGGGTTCATTTTTGTGGGAAGGGTGCAAAATCTTATATTGCACCCTTTTTTTAACCCCTTTTCCTTCAATAGGGTTCATTTTTATGTAAAGGGTGCAAACTCTTATTTTGCACCCTGTTTTGCACCCTTTTTTCTAAGAGTGTATCTCAGTTCTTTCGCATCTTTCTGCACGCGCACATGCATGCATGAGACATGCACATGACGGACAATGAAAGAGTACAAAATATCCAGTTCCTTAGGTAGACAAAGGAACATACAGCTGCTATTATGTAAAAATGTGTAGAACAGGTGTCACATGCATATTGACAGCTAGTTGCACTTTCCATCGATCCAACTTTCACTCGCACCCGAGGTAAATTCGGGTAAGAGATCAATGTTGATTTATTTATCACCTGCCGCAGCGTAATACCCAACCGTAGTTTACTCAAAATTGATACAAACGAAATTCGTACTCAATGTTGAGTCATTGATTTACTCTTTATCGAAGGTAACAAATTACTCGGGTGACGAGTACCACTAAAATCAAGGTCTTATTCCAGCTTGAGTACTGAATTGCTCATTTTGTTACTCAACTTGTTTTACTCGGCACAATTTACTCGCTGACATTAAGAGTGTACTGAGAGTACATTGATACCTCAATATCTATCTGTAGAAGTCACCTTTAAAACCCAAATTTTGAAACAGATGACGGACATGGAGAGTGTTTCACAAAGACTAAGATCGACTTTAAGTTGGACTTTACTATGGCAGGCCGTTCATGCCGCTGTTTGCTCTCACCATTTACTGGCATTGGTTTCTCAAGGGACCTAAAAATCGTGATCACGAATTCACATTTTGTGATAATTCATTATTGTAGGTGAGAGCAAACAGTGGCATTAACGGCCTGCCATAGTTAAATCCAACTTAAAGTCGATCTAAGTCTTTGTGAAACACTCACACGGAACCCCTTATATCAAGGGCAAAACGTATCTTGTCGATTGGTACTCTTTAACTTAGTACACTTTAGGAGATTGGAAAGAAAAGAAGTGAAGTACTACAAGAGAGCTTGGGAGAGATTTCGAAGTTGATATAGGATTTCCCGGCCAAATTCGCGAGTTTGTCGTTCAAATTAATTTGTCTTGAGTCCAAATTCGACGGTTTTTAGTGCAGTCAGGTATATCTCGGGTTTATATTCCCTTTTCTAGTTTTCAAATCTATGGAATTTTCGTTAGAATCTACGTATGTTTCATTCAAATTAATGAACAATGTGCTTCTTTCGCTATTTGGTCATTCGATTTGGCGCAACACGATTTTCTGACAACGCAACGATGTACTTCTAGCATTCTAATTCATTTGTAGCATTCAAAAATTACCGCTTTGTGCACTTAAATTGATGGTCAACATACATTTCTCGTTCATTTCACACTTTTTATAGCTCTTTTTCTTTCAAGATTGTTTTTTCATGTGTATTTCATCATATTTCATTTTCTTGCATTTATACACTTATACCTATTAGATTTATCTGATATTCATCAGCACTCAAGTTTGATTGTTAAGAAGAAAAAAACGACTTGCATCTACGGACCTGATGGTCTCAGTATATTTGTAAATGCTCATGTAAGGAAGTTGTTTGTCTTATGTTTCATCATAAATTTATCATAATTTCATCATAATTTCATTATGGAAGAAGGGTACAATATTATGACTGGGGTAGGGACTAGAGTCAACAATTTGAACATGATTAATTATTTAGCCATGTCTTTAGCCATCGATCTGCTGGCGGGCAAGTAAACTATGAAACTCTTTAAGAAAAACAGAGGGGTGTGCTGGGTATAAGAGACTATGAATTACTTTTGTAAAATTCCGAGTCTGTAGTAAAAAGGGGCGATTGAGGGTACCCCCACCTTTCCCGGATATATGAACATGTCCGTGCAGAAATGCCATATCCCATGATTTTCGCCCCTTCTTTACTGTATGTCTGACTACACCCATCTGTATTGTCCTGAAAATAAATACATGGAATAACAGCTTAGACCCCAATGGCAAATCATGCATTTTAACTGCATTATTTAAAAACTGTAAAAGTTTGTTGCAATTCTTCCCCCTAACATTCCTAACTTGACTAACAATATTACGAATACGAAAGACAGGTATTAATTTGAATGATAAAAATTACGCTTCGACAAGTGAATATTAATTTGAATGCTAGTTGAGCAGTTTCTAAATTGAATGACAGATCTATGAAACCCTTCGACCAAAATCCTAAATTAAATACAAAAACTGGAAAATTTAATGATAATTGGCATGGCAAAACCGACCTGCGCTAACTTAAATGCAAAGTAAATGAATTCGAATGACAATCACGCGAATTTGGCGGGGAAATTCTATAGTAAAAATCTTTAAAAAGAGAGAAGGCGAAATGGAGATAGAGGGAGAGAGAGAGAGAGAGAGAGAGAAAGAAAGAGGGGAGAGAGAGAGAGAGAGAGAGAGATGGTAGAAATAAAGAATGCAAGTAGGCCTACAGGTAGCCGGGAAGGAGAAGGGCCGGAAGCGGCATGAAAAGGGAGAGCAAAAATAAAAAAAGGTTCAACGAGACAATTAGTCATGTGAATACTGGTAATTTTGATATTTTAATGTGATAGCATAGCGATTGTGTCACCTGAACATTAATCAGTGGAACTTACATAGGCCTACTTATAAATATCATAGAAAGTAAACTTAAAGGGATAGTTGAGTTCTGTTGTAGAGGGCGCTACTCAAATTTTTTTTTTTTGTGAGATAATGAAAAACTGAGTGTCAAGATTTGAAAGAACATACACTTTAAATGACAAAATCATCTGTGTTTAATCAAAATCGGTTCAGAGACGGCTGAAGTATCCATAAATATAACGATTTCTAATACTTGTGTACCACCACAAATATTAGAGAATTTGAAAAAGCCGTTGAAAAAACGAAATAGCGCCTTTTTTGTCATATTTCAGCCAATGCCGATGTTGGCTTTTTAGTTGGCATTTTCGTGTTAGTTATATTATGCACAACCAGCCGGCGCATGTATTGTTATTTTTAATAATAATTTATTAACGGCCACCGTATTTTTTTTTAAAGTGGAGCTGAATTGGTATGATCGTAGCTAAATTTGACACATTTTGGGGTCTAAAATTACCTTCAGAGCAATTTTAGGTCGCAAAAGGGCACTAGAAATGTCATAGATAAGAATAAGAGCAATAAACATGCACTTTGAAGGCATTTGTGGTCTGAAAACAGAACTCGTCCCTTTAATGGCCCGAATTCACACAGGAGGTTTGTCGACAAACCTAGGTTTCTGATGTGCGTCATTATGACGCGTTTCGATGCGTTTCAGACCTAGGTTCAGACAAACCTTGGTATGACGCGTATAATGACGCATATACAGGCGCGGATCCAGGATTTCTTAGGGGGGGGGGGCCCAAATTTGAAATTATGCGAGCCAAATATTGGTACGTTATGGTGAGCAACAGTGACGTAATGCGGGGGGGGGGGGCGAGTTCCCCCCTCCCAGGCTTTGACGTTTCATTATATTATTAGAGAAAGAAGACGATTCGTTTTACAGTTCTCGACTCTTAATCCTCGTCTGAATTCAGGTTTCCCCCTCCCGCGCGAGGCGCGGAAGCTTTTAATCTTCATTTAATCATTAGAGAAGAAGACGATTCGTTGTACAGTTCTCGACTCTTAATCCTTGTCTAAATTCAGTTCCTCCCCCTCCCCCTCCTGCGCTAAGCGCGGAAGCTTCTACGTTTCATTAAATCATTAGAGAAAGAAGACGATATGTTGTACAGTTCTCGACTCTTAATCCTCGTCTGAATTCAGGTTCCCCCCTCCCGCGCAAATCGCGGAAGCTTTTAATCTTCATTTAATCATTAGAGAAGAAGACGATTCATTGTACCGTTCTCGAAAATAATCCTCATCGGAATTTAATTCCCCCTCCATCCCGCGCGAAGCGCATAAGCTTATACGTTTCATTAAATAATTAAAGATTCGTATTACCGTTCTCGCCTCTGAATCCTCGTCTCAATTCAGTCCCCCGGAAGCTTAGGGGTTTTAGGCATTTAATCACGGTCAGATGAGCATATTTTGATGCCTCGAGGCTCTCGATCCCCGCCGTACCTCGGGCCCTAACATGTAGGAATCTCAAGAATCATATTTTTTGCCTGGTTGTAAATTTAGGAATTTTTTTAATTTCCAACAAACACATACAAACGTATAATTTACTAAAAAGTGAGGAAAAATTTCGGAAATTATGTCATTTCAGCATTATTTGTAATACACCGTTGTGGAATCAGAAATAAACCACGTTTGAATTTGATTTCCCCCAAGCCCCCCCCCCCTCTATCAGTACGCCAGTATCTCCTCTTTTCCTTTTTTTCTCTTTCCCTTTCCTTCCTTCTCTCTTATTTTTTTTTGATTGGGGGGGGGGGGGGGGTTAACAGCCTGGGAGGCAAGGCCCTTTTGTCCCCCCCCCCGATCTCCTTCTTCCCCCTTTACTTTTCTTCTTCCTCTTCTTTCTTTCCCTTTTTCTCCTTTTTCCCTTTCTCCCTTCTTTTCCTTCTTCTCTCTTTTTTTTTTTTTTTTGCGGGGGGGGGGGGGGCCAAGGCCCGCTCGGCCCCCCCCCTGGATCCGCGCCTGCGCATATAAACCTAGGTTTGTCTAAACCTCCTTTGTAAATTCGGACCAATAAGGCTATGTAATTGTACTGCTTCCTATTTTGAATTGTTCATGTGACTGGAACTAATCAACAACACAAAAATATGATAAAGATGAAATTGAGTACTCGTCATGCGATTACACACACACCTACCTGGAGAAGCGATCGGTAAAAGTTGATAACGTAAACATAAGAATTGATGGTCACTTTGAGGTTTTGGAACGATGAAAAATATGAAGAAAACGACTAGTCGCTGAAAACAACATGGACATAAACACAATAATAGGTATATAGGACTACATACACATGACATGTGGAATAAACGTTTGGTCTTAACTTTTTAGCTAGTTCTTGTCACATTTTTATATTTCAAATATGATGGCATTTGAAAAGAAATCCATTTTTATGCGTTACTTCTATATGATAACTATAATTACTCTTCATAATTGAAATAAAAAGAATGAGAAATCTCAGAAATAATGTTGTCACCTTAACCGGAACTAGACCTTCTCTTTTCATATAGGCGAAATTTGTTTTTCCCAGTTTCTCTATTCAACAGTAGACACGTGATATTAAACAACGTGATTAAGACAACAATAAACTACAAAATGTATCGCCGCCAAAAACCGGACTACAAAGGCGCCGTCAGTTTTATAATTAAGATATAATTACACATCCATATAATTAAACTGTGTCCTCATTATATGCCAACCCTAAAATCAGTGAGTACAATCTATGGATTTTTTAATTGCCTGTTACCAGTCTTTTTTAGAGGGAATACATCTCATAGATACTTGATTGATGAATAAGATAATACTGTATCTATCCATTTTAAAGCTACTAATCAACTACCCCGTGTGCTAACTACTTAAATCGTCTCGGTGTAGCCGATATCCGCTATTAAACACGTACAATTGTATTTCAATAAAGAATGTATTCAGTTAAACATGCTAATTGCCAAGAAGGGTTGTAAAGTATCGGATGCGTTAGAATATTTAATGATAATTTAGTAGATTTAAAATAAATCGCTATTATTTCATTAACTTAGACATGATTTCAATAAGATTAAAAATAACCAAAGATTTTATCGTAATATAAGCAGAGGAAGCAAATGAAATTGGCTTGCATAATGCATAATTAGTACGGAGTACTTTAATTTAATTCAACTGTTCATATCATGTTTGTAGTAGTCCATCTCTCTTGAAACTGCTGCATCTAATCAATATATCATTTTCCATTTCTTTAATGACAGGCCTCTTTGGACTGCTTCGTGTCTTGACAAGCTGCGACAATAAATCCCAGTGACTCTCGCTCTATTCTTCGGCAAGTTTAGCTCATCCTTCGTTGACTCTCGACAAGTCTCGCTCACGACATCGGCACTTCTCGCTTATCATTCGTTAAATTCCGGAAGAATAAGTCTCCCGAAAGGCGGACGAGCATCAGAAGATCCTTAAAACCAACCCCGCCGTCGTCATCGAAATGGAAGTCTACCTCATAATCGCCTCGATCTCCGCCGCTCTAACTCTCGGCATCGTCCTCGCCGTCCTCGTCTGTGTCTGCTATATACAGTCGCCTGGGAAGCTGAGGAAGGAGATGGAAGATGATAGCGACTTCGAAGCCCAACCAGCAATGTTCCTACCCGAGCCTCCGAACTCCGATGACGAGTTCACACCGGGAATGAAGCTCCCGTCTTTCAGACGTTTTGACAGTTCTATAGACGGGTAGGTAGAATTTCATCTTTTCCAATTTTTGATTGTTTTTTTAATGTTTTAAAACTTTTCTCTCTGTTCTGGAGGCATCGCTAAATCTTTATAAATGAACGGATGGGGGTGTGCCTATCTATATAATTATATTTCACCCACAAGCATTGCCACTCGTGAGGAAGGGGGAGACCTTAAAAAATCCCCCCCCCCCCCCCAAAAAAAAAAAAAAATAAATAAAATAAAATAAAATAAATAAAAAATAAATAAATAAATAAATAAAATGAAATAAAAAATATGAATAAAAAATAAATAAATAAATAAATAAATAAAAAAATTAATAAAAAATGAGTGACGATGTATGATTACCACCCTCATCAGAAGACTGAAACATCGTATCATCTTTTCTTTAGGTCAGAATCAACGACTTCCTCCTCAACGCCTCCTCTTTCTCTTTATCCAGCCAACTTCACGATCCCCCGAGGTAAGGACTTTCTGAATAAAATGAAATACCAACAAGGATAAAATTCATTTAATAACTAGATAAATATTCAGATGCATTTTATGATCTACGTCACCGTGTTCATGAGGTGGATGCAGGAGATGGCCATGGAGGAGATTCCGGGTATTCCCGCCCCCTCTAAAAAAAAAAAACTATAAAGAAAACGATAGACCTTTTTTTTATTCCAAGGTGCATCTTGTCTACATGTGAATTAAAGCAAAGTCTTTCAATGAAAGATGCTGAAATTCTACGAAAAACTTGCATTTCCAAGGCGTTCATTTAGTTGTTTGCATGCAACCTAAGGTGAATACGTCAATATTACGTCTACTTTCATGTCTCTATCGTAATTATCATTATCACATTAATAAACATTTCACTGCTTTTAGCTCTGTTTCTATGGCAACAGCGTGAAGGGCTTCTATCAACACGTTGTTAATATTGGCGCCCTTATTTGTTAGAGCACAAACTATCACGAATGAAGCACGTACAAAATGGAGTATACTTTCGGAAGAACACTTCTACGTCGTCTATTAAATGGCTAGACTTCTTAACATTGCATGATTTTTAGTGACGACATTTGTTTATAAGTGTATTGGTCATTAAGTGCCTCATACGGTTTATGATATTGGAATTATCGATCTTATAATTGATAATATAATCATTACTATTATTATTTATCTTATTATTATTATAATTATTATTATCATCATCAATATTATTATTATCATTATTATTATGAGTTTCTACGTTCCTGCTGTAAGTTTAAGAGTGTATATTGCTAGCTCTTTTACACTGGTAGCCATTCATTAGTCAGTCGTATAGGCATGATTCTCAAAATAGCCACGACCCCAACCCTAACCTAACCCTTCCCCTACCTGATGCACACGTAATTAAGCGGCGTATGCAAATGGTTGCAAATGAGTTACCCCAGGTACATTACTTTGTGACTATTTTTTAGAAACATGACCATTCTGTGACGGATTAAATAATGCCTACTCTGGACAATGTTGTGCCAGGCAGATTGGCATTATCTTGACTTAAAGGGATCCGGTAACTTTGTCTTAGATCCTTTAGAAATAATCCCTGATTTTGCTCATGCTGTAATGATAATTATAAACCTTTAGGTCAGTCAGGAACTCCATGACTTTTACAAGCCGACCGCCTGTCTGATTATCAAGATAGTAATGATTGGAATTACAAATTTTGAAAACCGTTCGCCGAACGGTTTTCATAACGCTACAGTCTATTGGGGAAAACGAGCATGGTAAAACCGGTCACTCAAAGATTTTTTTTTACTTTTTTGAGGCACTTCTGGGTCATTTTGAAGCGCGATTTTTTTTAGGGCCTCAATATTACACCATATCACAGACACTGGTAACATGTAGGACCGTGTATCTCAGATTTAACATTGTTAAACGATCCCTTTAAAATGGGAGTAGCACATGGTAATTTAATGTTTTGTTGATGCCGCGGATCATTAAGAGGGTTTACCCAAAGATATTAGTAGAAAAGTGATCGTATTTTAATTGATTGTAGTGGTTCATTTTTACCAACGCAGTAGTGAATATAAATATAATCTAATGGGCATGATGAGAGTGGGGGAAGAAAATAACTGTACTAACGAAATGGAAGCTGATTGCTATTTACATGTAAGTGGCGAAATTAAAAGGGCGATGTGACCCTGTATTAGTTCATTTGTACGAAAGCAGAAAAATAAGATAAACAAAATGGCGGAAGTGTGAATTTCAAATAAATCGGACCAATAATATGAAAATGTTTGACATAATTATTTGATCACTAGGTCAATGCGAATATCAAATTGGCAGTTTGATCAGTAGATTAGTCGCAAATAACTCTACTGTTTGTCGTGTAAAAAATATTATTAATTCATGTTTTTCTCTGAAGTTCCTTCTCCCTCAGGGCACTACTCAAAGTATTTAATAGACAACATATTTCTATACAACTTTCAAATATTCATAATAATTTCATTTTTGTCCGATTTCATTCAAACTTTCACCAGTCTACTCGTCTGATTTTCTGCTCCCCCCTAGAGTATTTTACTATCAAGATTGGATCTCCTTTTAATTTTCTCCCGTAGGCCAGAGCGTCAACAACGATAAACAAGTTGACAAAAGACCTTCACGATGTTGCCATAGTAACAGAGCTGACAGTGGGAAAACATACATGTGATAATCATCATAACGATGGGAATATGGTAGTCATGATAGGAGATCGAAATATTGACGTATGCACCTCTCGCTTGTACGTAGACAAATTAAGACCTCCAAAATAGTTTATAGTGGAATACGATATTTTTCAAAGATCACGTAGCACATAAATTGTGTACTGGGGTGAGGGGGGGGGGGGAGATCCCTTTTATGATTATTATTTGGGGTGCGAACATTTTTATGGTAATTGACGTTTTGCAAACCTCTCGACTCGCAGTGGCAAGACATTGAATTGCTAGAAAAAGCACCCGATAACGTGTTTCCAGGTTTTGGCCCAAGCCCATAAGTGCTAGCGACACCCCTACATTTCTTTCTTGTTACCGCACAGTACTGAAATTCTGTTTCCCACACAAAAATAAGTTAGCTTGCTTTATTTCGTGCACTGTAGTTATGGATGCGGATCAAGATATTGGTTCGCAAATATTAAAGGGAACCAAACCTTCATACTAAGTTACATCATTTGTGGACAACTCTCCATGCCTTTTGTACATCAAATTTCACACAATTCTTTCGTTTTCTTCGTATCTATTTGTGTTCTTGATCCAGCTTCATAACATGTGAAGTAGAATATCATTTTGCATTCTATATCTTGCTTTCAGGGGAGTAGATTATCTCAATCACAGGAAAGAAGGAAAAACATGAAATTTGTAGTACAAAAGGCATGGAGAGTTGTCCACAAATGATGTCATCAAATTGGATATCGCCCTCGAGTGAATAGTCATTTAAAAAAGCTTTAACTTCCTTATTACTTGCCCGATTTTGTTCAAATTTTCACTGATTTTGTTCAAATATCTTAAACTTTACAATAAAAGTAACTTAGCATGAAGGTTTTGGTTCCCTTTAAGTATATGCACAATTTTCAAAAGTACTTAATTGACGAAACCTTTTTAAAGGAAAAATGAAGCATAAATTGTTAGTATCCCTTTAGACAGTATTACAGTTAAAGAGGGGCTGCTTTCATTTTAGTTCGATGTTTCAAAATAGGCGAAATCATTTTTTTCCCCCTGATTTAAAAAAAATAGATGTAGCATAATGCTAAATACATTACTCATTGCGGTCTTTGCGGATGTAGTATCGAAAATGATATAGCTAGTGATATTCGTTTGTCTCGCAATGTGGTCAATAAGGGATCTAAAAGATCACGACGTTTCGTGCGCCGCTGCAACACTTCGTCAGGTGATAACAACTAATGTGGTCAATAAGGGATCTAAAAGATCACGACGTTTCGTGCGCCGCTGCAACACTTCGTCAGGTGATAAAAACTAATGAAGTGTTGCAGCGGCGCACGAAACGTCGTGATCTTTTAGATCCCGTATTCATTATTGACCACATTGCGAGAAAAACGAATATCACTAGCGATATTATTTTCGATAGATGTAGCATGCTCTGAAAAGATATTTTTGAATACCAAAGGCCATACAGCTTGCTAATGAAACGTAGAGACACCTGCAAACTCAGCATAATTTTTAAAATGTTATAACATCTCCCCCTCTCAACAAAACAAACCTTTTTCCACAGCCCCTTCAAGCACCATCAGTGATCTCTCTATTGAAAAGGCACAACCACCGATTAGTCCAAGGACGCCCTCTATGAGCAGAAAACTGGATCCTGCTCAACTCGACCCAACCTCTCATATGTACAAAGAAATGTCGGTAAGTAAGTCCAGTGTTAACAGCATTTTTTAGCCTTTAATTTCTCACTGGTGGGACTAAACCTATCTTAAACCACACCATCCACCCCAAATAATAATTATCAACAGCCCAGGAAATTCATATTAGGGATTTATACACTGTTATCATGGTTTATAGGTTATACCAATGCACACATTATTGTGTAAGTTTTCTTTGGTTTGACATCTATCCCTCTTCTCCCCCTCTCTCTCTCTCTCTCACACGCACACACACACGCACACACGCACACGCACACACACACACACACACACACACGTAAGCACACCCACACACAACTCAATTAGTTTCGTCTAACTTTACTCCTCTTGTTAAATCATTCAAAAAATGTTTCCCCCACCCCACCCCACCCCTCTCTGCCCCCGCAACTCATTTCTCTCTCTCTCTCTCTCTCTCTCTCTCCCTCTCTCTCTCTCAGCACCTTAATCTGCCTTCTCCCCCACGGCTAAATCTTGTGTATCTGTTTCTTCTCTCTTTCTCTCTAGCTCTAGCCTCTCTCTGTCCCTATCTCACCTTCTCCCTCTCTTTTCTCTTTCTCTTTCTTTCTCTCATTTCTCTCTCACACCCCCCACCCCACCCCCATTCTCACCTGATATTAACCGTTCCTTCACGGTCTACCCCATCGTTGTGTTTTATCACAGTCTCCTCCCCAGAAAATATCCCAGGATGGGTCAACATTAGGTATCATGAACTTCTCTCTTAAGTACAACTCTGAGATGGGTCTACTTACAGTCAGACTGATCCAGGCTCGCAACCTCCAACCCAGGGATTTCAGCGGGACAGCTGACCCGTACTGCAAAGTATGCGTCATACCCCACGCATCGAAGACGTTACAAAGCAAGGTACGAATATTTTATGTGTAGCAGTTCTAGCAACAACCAAAATCTTCATACCCCTCTAGCCAATGAATTTATATTTCGTATTATTATGAATAATTTTAAGCGACGCACATATAGAAAATGAATACACCCCCTCCCCCATGCACCCTCTCAAAAAACAAAAATATAGAGCGGCGCCTGAATTTTTTCATCACTTCAAAATGTTAACATGGGGCCCATGCACAACCCCTCATTATGGTTCTTACAGGGCATACACGATGGGGAAGTTTCAGACGAAATTGTCCTTGTTGGGAATTTAGTTTTGAAGAGGCGTCATTTTTGTCTCATTCATGTCATTCATGATACCATTATTTATTCCAAATATTTTGGTCTTAACGATGTCGTAGTGTGAGTGCAGTCTTGATGCACTGGTTTGTTCACAGTGTGTAGATAAATGAAACGCAAGGGAATATTGTGACCATGCTATATTATATTCGCCTCTCCCTTTCCTATTTTCCCCCTTTTTACTATTAGATTTCCCTTTTGTCTCTCTTTAAAGAGAACAAAAAACACTTTGTTTTTCTCGATTTTCCTTTTTCCTATTCTACTTTTGATTAGTTCGAGAGTGCCGTATATTCAATATACCCTGAAATAACTTACCATATGATCCCTCCATCAGGTGCATCGGAAAACGGTATTGCCGGAATTTCGAGAAAGTTTCGTCTTTGAGATCCCAGAAATAGAAATACATCGGCAAACGGTCCGAGTATACCTTTACGATTACGATCAATTCTCGAGGGACGAGTGTATCGGGGTTGTCGAGCTACCTCTGGCGCACGTGGACTTGACGGAGAAACTCGAGGTTTGGAAGGGAATCCGAGCCCCGCCATCTGTGTGTACAACTCTGGTACGTTAATAAATCAAATGACCACGTGCTTATTATGTTAATTAAATACGTTTAGTAAAAGGGTCGTTCAGAGATATGACGCGATAAAACCCTGCCCCCACCCCATCAATTCTACGTGTAAATGAATTGTAACTGCGCGCAACAAAATCTCCTGCGCATATTCCTGAGCTCTAAATTTAAGATACAGAAACGTGAAGCTATTTCAATATTAAATAGAAAACAGCGCGATTTTGGCGCGTCATATCTGAGGATCGAGGCGTACGTTTTGTAGATGAAAATGGAATATTCAGTGAAAAAAATGTACATGTATATCTATTCCTATGATATTAATGTTGTAATAATTTCTTTATATATATATATATGTATTTTTTTTTTCCTGGGGGGGGGGGGGGGGGGCAGTGGTTTACCGCATCACATCTCAACAAGAGCTTCTTCGGGGCGGCCTCTCGGCAGTAACCGACAGATGACCAACCGATTCCCGAGCGGTCTCCCACCGGCCACCGGCTAATTTTAAAGAAATTGCCCGGCGGCCGGCCGATGATAGGCGGGGCGCCAAAATACGTCCTGTGCCCGGGCGTTCCGGGCACCGACCTAATCGAGCGTTCGCCGTCGAGAGATTTAGGTCAAAAATCGAAGCCGCTAGGTCAAAGGCTGCCGACCGATTTTGGACTTGCCGCCCAGTGACTGACTGATCTCCCCGCGGCGATCGGCCGGCGACCAGGCGGCGACTGCTCGGCAGCCTTTGACCTAGCGTCTTCGATTTTTTACCTAAATCGCTCGACGGCGAACGTTCGATTAGATCGGTGCCCGGGCGGTGACCGCCCTGGCACCGAGTGTACTTTGGGCGACGAGTGAAAGTGAGCAGGCGCCGCCCGAATTTTAACTCCGCTTAAACTTCAGCAGCGACCGAGCGATACCCTAAAAACAAGCGGTGTCCGGGCGAAATTGGCTCAAAACTCGCCGTTGAACAAGGTTGTTCAATTGAACCAAATCCACGACCCGATACCAAAACTTTGTATTACCTTTAAACCGCCTCAAAAACAAAATATAAGAAAGAAAAAATATAATATAAGAAAAAAAAGAAACAACCGCCCCTTCATTTGAACGTGTAAATGAACTGCAACTGCGCGCAACACAGGTCCTGCACTTATCCACTGAGCACAGTGTTACACCATACAAAATGTGACGCGTAGTATAATTTACGTCATCATTTAAAAAAATATATTTATCTTTGTTCTCTGTAGTGCCCATCTCATGTTCTCGGTGACCTGATGTTTTCACTGTCATACCTTCCAAGTGCTGAACGTCTCACGGTGGTCATACTAAAAGCCAGGAACCTACGCACCGTTAGCACTGCTGAGGGAAAGCAAACTGCAGGTAGGAACTGTTTCTTTAGCACACCCTTCCGTTTCAATATATTCATCCATTGATTGATTGGCTGCATTTACTTTATAAAAAATTGACAAAGCGTAATACAGTATTTTTTTCTTAAAACACACATTAACATATTTGAAAGTAATACAGAAGTAATTAATGCCATTTAAGGATGTTCTGTAAATCATTCAATACGAATATGAAAATTGAGCACATATTTTTTGTTTGTTTTTTGGGTCCAATTTGTGAGGAAATATTTAGCAGCGAATCATCTAACCGGTTAAAAAGCGGGGGGGGGGGAGGGGAGGGGAGCAGGAGGGAAAGTAACACTAAATCCTTTATTATTTTTTTGCTAGAGGGGGGGGGGGGCGTTTTTTGTTAAAAAAGGTAAAATTTATGTTACCATCTTATTTTGTTACCAGTTTCTTTTCATAGGGGATCGCCCCCCCCCCCCCCGTGGCCAGCCTAGTTGTCTAAAATGTTCTTTTCCACCCTCTTTATCTTGTTGCAACGTATACACACATATTCGAGCTAAATAAATATGTCTTAATAATACGAGGAAGTTGGTCTAATCTTAATTTTATACATTAACACTTTGATAGAGTATTGATATGAATTCATTATCAGCCTATCGTGTATGATACAAATTTACAATCATGTATCCATATTGTTCTCGGACTTCCTTTATCAGATCCATACGTCAAAGTTTCAATTTTTTACATGAGTAAACGACTGAAGAAGAAGAAGACATCCACACAGCATGGAACACGATCTCCCGTGTTCAATGAGGCTCTCGTCTTCAATGTCGACACCGACTTCTTACAGCATCTCACCATCGAGTTCCAGGTCATTCATGAGAACAGATTCGGACCAAACGAGGTGAGCGTGGACTCAAGTATTGAATGCAAAGACACGGTTTTCCTGTGTATAAACCACAGTGTTTCCACCACACTGGAATGAACTGGAATAATTAGTCCCAAAACTTTTGTGCAAAGCTAGATTAGATTAATGGAGATATTAATATTTTAGTTTTTATGAAATCTGCCCTCCTAGTTGAAATTCGTACTACGACTATAAAAAAAAATCAATATTATGTTTTCCAATTTTTCAAAGATAAGCGTTGACCCTATTCTTAAATTCGTGGTTTCTTTACACATTCAGGTAGCCTTAATTGATAGACCAAAATAATCGACTAGAATTGTTCTCAGACTGTCCCCTGGTAATTTCTGGTTTATGTTTAGTTTAGTTTAGTGTTTAGACGTTCCCTTCACTTTATCACATTTTACTTCCCTTGTATCTTATGTTGAAGCCTTTATTCATCTTTTTCTTACTTCAGGTCTTGGGAAAAGCCGTTGTTGGTCCAGGAACTGGCGGGGAAGAGTTGGCCCACTGGAACGACATGATCCGCTCAGGAAACAAACCCGTCGCCAGCTGGCACTGTCTTTTACCCTGAGCTCTCGTGGATGATATCACGACATGATGGCATATATCGACTTTCAACCAATCAGCGCTTGAGGTTATCAGTCAACCAGCCAATCAGCGACGAGGAATTCTTCTTCGCGTTCGCTTTTACAGACAGATTGCTGTCTTATGATCACTGGTGATGCATGTTATTCTGCACTGATCAATCGTTTTTTTTTTTCTTCTTCAGTTTGATGTGGTTGATAAGCACTCTACAGCTTCTAATTTGGCATTGTTTTTATTTATGGACTTCATGAAATGGTCTCAAACAGAAAGCCATCGACGCCAATTAGATCAAACTTTGAAAGCAGATAGAGGCCGTCAGACCCTGGACTGTCAGATGGGCTGTGACAAAATGCATTAGGGATGCATTCAGAAGAAAGTGGCAGAGGCCAACGACATGGCTCTCTCATTTGCTAGACACAGGGAGACTGTTCTGTGATCACCAAAAGTTATGGTACTTAAAGCTATTTTAAAGCTAACATTAATTGAAAGAATATGAAGGTCACTTTGTACTTTTTCACCTGTCTCACACGTTATTGTGACGCCACGACGCTAAGAATATCTGACAACCGTCATTGGAAGGCGTCAGAAAAACACACCAGCCTTCGCGTCGGAGAGCCCTGCTATCAAGAAGCTTTACCAGAATGGACGTGTCGTGCAAGACGGTTTGTCTTAACTGATTATTCTTGACTGATCAATAGCATTGAACTTCGAGGAGTATGTCAAGATGCAGCGACAACACTCTGGAAGATTTCCCTGATTGACCAATATCCATAATGTCATCGCTGGTTACATTTATACTAAGCCATGGACATCGTTACTGGTTGATCAGAATATGTGAAGAAGAAAAGAAAATCACGAAATGCTACGATATTTAGGGACAATTGCGGAAGTAATGATCAGGAAAAATGCCTTAATATACAGGCTTAATAGAAAAGTGGTAAACGCTTTGACTTATTTGGAATAACCGACTTTATACAGCGCCTTTTCCGTTGGATGTTAAGAATAAGAGGGTAAGCCTGAATCATCAACGCGGTTGAAATTTATTCTTAACTGGCAGCTACCGATGATGAAAGCCTTTTGATGAGTAAGGAGTTCATGTTTAAAAGTGTTATGAAAGCGCTGCATGTTATAGAGCCTACTGCAACAGCTAGTATATTATGCTGCTCAGGGGCAGATGAAATATGTCATCTAGGCGTCGAGCTGATGATGCGAGACGTGTTCGCCTGGGTTAAGGCCGTCACATGAAGACACTGATAATCAGATTTTTCACCAGTGTGCGGACAAGAAAAAAAAGGGGAAGTGTTTAAAAGAAGTTCTTCCATTGGCCGGTTACCAGTGGAATTGAAGAGTCAGAAATATATTGTGCGAATGGGGAAAAACGGTTAACCATGATGTAGTGATGTGGACCTCGGTCAATAGCCATGGACTTACCACAGGCTTCATCGCTGACAACTTCATGATCCAGTGATTCTTCGGCTCCTGCTCTCGAAATTTATTGCGAAAATGTCACCTTGACATACTCGAGAGGCCTTGGTTAGGATGACGTGTGCACCCCCCCCCCACACACACACAAACAGGCGTGCCGGAAGCAGTTTGGGATGGGGGGGGGGGCTCACATTCCAGGGGGCTCACATTCCAGGGGCAGTGACGTAATGAGAAAAAAAGTTCGGAAGGGGGGGGGCAGACGAAAAATATGCATCACCACCAGTCTTACACGCTACATGCAGGTCCCGCGGAACGTTTTTCAAAGTGGAGCATTATCGATCAGGGTGCCGCCTTAGGGCCCTCGGTGGGGTCCAGGGGGCAAAGCCCCAGAAGCTCAGGGGTTTTAGGTATTTAATTACGGTCAGATGAGCATCCAGGGGCCCGCCTTAGGGCCCTTGGTAGGGTCCAGGGGGGCAGAGCCCCTGGAAGCTCGGGGGCTTTAGGTATTTAATCAAGGTCAAATGAGCATCCAGGGTGCCGCCTTAGGGCCCTTGGTGGGGTCCAGGGGGCAAAGCCCCGGAAGCTCAGGGGTTTGGGGTATTTAATAACGGCCAGATGAGCATCCAGGGGCCCGCCTTAGAGCCCTTGTTGGGGTCAGGGGGCAGAGTCCCTGGAAGCTCAGGGGTTTTAAGTATTTAATTACGGTCAGATGAGCATCCAGGGGCCCGCCTTAGAGCCCTTGTTGGGGTCAGGGGGCAGAGCCCCTGGAAGCTCGGGGGGTTTAGGTATTTAAAAATGCGTTTTGCCCCCCCCCCCCACTTTTTTGTTTGGGGGGGGGGGCGCACAAACACAAAGCCTCCAGATGCCAGGAGATGTTGCATGCGTTTTTCCAATGATGCCATTGTTGAGTGGGCGCACTTGTTAAAGAGCGACTTCATGGCTTGCGTGCTCCATACCTAGACAGTGTGAGGTGCACACTGTCATGACTGTGAGTGCACGATTGTAACTGAATCCAGTGAACGTAGTCATTACACGCTAGTTGGATTCACACACAGAGAAAAAAGGGAAATTCAAAAAAACTTTTTTTTTTTAAAACCCTAAAGAGGCCGGGCTATTTGAGGTCTAAATACGGCCGGGGGGGGGGGGGCAATATGCCCCCCCCCCAAGATCTCAGCCCAGGAAGGTCCAATCAATGTGAAAATTAGCATGATGATAGATTGAAGTATGCCTATATTGAATAAGATGTTAATGTTTATTTTCTTCTATGTTTATTCATATTTGTTTTATTAATATTTTTATGCCAATATGCACATTTTTGTTGGAAATTTTCAAAAATGCGTTGATAGATTTGATTTGAAATTGCTGTTTTAGTTGAGTAATAACATTTATCAATTGAAATATAATAGTTTCTAATACAAACATACAAATAAACACAAACACAGGTACAAATATGTTTGCTTCATGTTGTTTCATATGAAACTATAGTTTGTACAATATTTTGCGGGTGAAAAGCGTCAGTTTCTTTTATATTTATAATTACAAATTTCTTATGTTTTCGATTGTTTTTAATTTCTTATGTATTTCATTACATGAATAAACAAATGCATGGCCAATACTAAACAAGTATAATCATGAATGTATGACTGCATAACATGAATTAAATCATTCATGATATACCTACGCACGCACATTTGTGAGAATTACATATTTTGATTGACATGTGATGATATTTTGTCATCTAACACCCGAACCACAGGTCCACCAATAACAAATTAGGTATCAAAATGTGCGGGAGCGTGAGGAAAAAACTCATGAAATTTGAACTCCAAAGGTTTAGGGGTTTTGATGCAGCGGCAACAATCCGACGGCCTTATTAGGGTTAAATCGCGACCAGAATATCACTTATTTTTCTGTGTGTGAACCCTAAACAATCTCATTAGAAAGTAAGATCCTGATTGCGATCAGAATGACACAATGATGCTGGACACTGACTGCGTATTTTTTTATTCCACAAAAGGCGGCATTTTCCCTCTTTTTTATTGGGGGGGGGGGAGGGGTTAAATTTTCATTTAAAAAAAAAAGTTTTTTGATTATTGATGATTACACAGTGATTCTTAAATTGTTATACCTAACTATTTTATTCTTACCATTTCTGTTAAGTCACATGGATTCGAAAAGAAGACCTCCAGGTTATAGTTATTATGTTAATCTTTTTCTTTCCCCCGCATCCATGTGCCTCTTTTCCAAATATACCCTTGTTCAAGTTGTATTCACTGATTTTTCTTTGTCTTTGCCGAATAAATAATAATAATAATAACTTTATACGTTACAACCTTGTTCATAGCCTTTTGATGTTCTTTGATATCCCGTCCAATGTCAAATACTTTCGTTGATCAATTTTATTCACTTGAAGGGTTATAGTTTATCATGGGTAATTTAAAGGTACTATGTCCCTTTTGCAGCCAACCTCAAATTCTGTAGAACTTTGCAGGAATTATGAGTATGTCATGTAGGTCCTATCTGTGAAATTTTAAACGTTAGCAGTGTCCTTATATTCAAATTATGCATGGAAACCCGTTTACTTGCTAGACTTCACTGTCAGACACTATTGATTGACTGACTGGCTTTTTTCTTCTTTGGTAATAACATACATAAAATGAGCTGTAAAGGGTACATGAGCATTTGTCTACATCAATAACCCACTTCTAGTGATGGCCCAAATTAAACTGATTGAATCTTTGCGCAGCATAAAACGTATGACCATTCGGTACAATGGTCTGAAAATCAAGACTATTACTTATGGGCTCTATAGCCCTAAAGTCGATTTGACAACTAATAGTCGTTTTTTCCCACTTGAAGACGTTTTCAAGCCCCACCTTTTTTAGGGAAGTTCTAAATTAGTATTATCTTTCAAATGCCGTTGGAATTTAACCTTTTCATTTTTTTGGCCTGCAAATGGGACATAGTACCTTTAAGTAGCTGGTCATGTTATCATAAACATGTCAAGAAGTATATCTGCCAAACACTTGAATGAGAACTAAACATATCCAACTAATGAGAAAACGGAAAAGCACTCATATTGGATTTTAATATTGTATGTATCTTTTCAACAGAAATTTGAAATAGAAAGATTGAAAAGCGTATGAAATGTAAAATAATCTTACGCATAAATTGGGTATAAACAGATATACAGAATCGATAATATGCCTTGGGGTAAGAGAAACGTATCAAATCACAAACAGCCACGCATGATATGAACAGGCCTTACAAAAAGGTTTAGTTTAACGTTACATTTTATTGAAAGAACTGCCTCAAGTGGAGATTGTTATGAACAACCATGTACAAGGAGCATCAGCTCCGTGATAATGCGAAAGTCTACAATATTTTGAAGGTATGAAACGTTGAATTAAAGGGATACGGTTGGTAATTTTCATGTGCAATAGGTCATAATTGACACTAGACTTCAAATACCATTAATTGGAGTTCAAGTATTTTACGCAGAGCAGAATTTGACGTCCCATCAAGAAATAATCCCTGCATGGTGTCAAAATTCATACGAGAACCCATGGTTATGTGACTTCCATAGTTCCAATCATATGCAGGGATAGCAGTAGGTTCATGAACGTAATTAGAAGGTGGCCAAAGGTTGTGTCTAATTAAAATCAGCCATTTTGATACGATGGAGAAAAAAAAGTGCTGATTATTAGTGACAAAAAGAAGCTGTTTGATCTGACGTCAACGAGCTCTGATCACGCGTGCTTAACAGCAGCGCACGTTCATTATACTCGTTATTAGAAAATCAAAAGCATTTTGTGTATGTACTAATTTACATGTATATAAAGTATGAGATATAAGATGGGATATAAAGTAAATCTTGGTACAAAAATCGTTGTATGATATGCAACTTTTTAGATCATTGACCAATGTTGAATCCAAAAAATTGTTTTAATCACATTTATCTAATTCAATTTTACATTTGATATAACCCGCCAGCGGCACTCAATGGATTTAATGTAACAAATTCAACTGGTGTATTGTCAATATATACCGGAGTGTTGGCTCAGTCAGTAGAGCGTCCGCCTCACAACCGGGAGGTCGTGGGTTCGAACCCCGGCCGCGTCATACCAAAAGACGTTAAAAGATGGGAGTTGTTGATACCTTGTTTGGCGTTCAACAATAAGGGATAAGGGATAGAGCAACGTCGATCTGGCGCTGCTCAGTGGCTGCCGGGCTCACGATCAATTGGGCAAAAAGAATTTCCGTTTCGGTTTAATAAAATTTGGAGTGGACTATTAGATTATTATTATTATTATCATTATTATATCAAACGTTGAATGTAAAATAATAATATTCGAAAGAAAGTGTGGCAAAATTGTACAAAAGAAGCTCCCCCCACAAAAAAAAAAAAAAAAAAAACATAAAATTATTGTACATCGGATTACAGTTACCTAAATGTTAAATTGTTATTTATAGTTTCCGAATAATTTTCAAAATTTTGTCATGAATGGCGATGAAAAGAAAAAAAAATTAAAACTGTAAATGGTCTTATTTGGAGGGGAGGGCACCGGGCCCCATCGGGCAGAGCTGAGCACCGAAATGGGTCATAACAAAAAAATATTGCAAAAAAAAAAAAAAAATTGTAAAATTATTTACTTTTCCTGTATCAAAGAGAACTGTTGCTGAGCTAGCGCCATGAGCGTCCCTGGACGGTGTGTGCGCTCTATAAGTTTACATTATTATTATTATTATTATTATTATTATTATTATTATTATTATTATTTTTTTTTTTATAAGCGTTTCATATTAATATTTTCCTTTCAACCGCTGATGTCATCCATAAAACATAGACAACAAAATTAATGTTATCGACCCTGTGTGAAATCGTTCATACTTCAGTCACAGCCCCAAACCGACCCCTCATCAGGGGCAGATCAACGGGGGGGGGGGGGCGGGTTAACCTCCTAACCTCCTGTAATTTTGTAAATATTATCTGCCTGTCGGAGATAATGGTGTTACAATTCTCATATACAGTTATACATAACTTAGGATATTTGTTAGTGAGTTTCCTGTTGGCTGAAAGGGTGTCACGTGACACACAATTTCTTATATTAAAGATTGTGTTATATAACCTTCTCTGCACGATAAACTCGTAGAAAAGTAAAGGAA